TATAGTGTGCTGCATATTACACATACGCCACGTGCGCGGATTCTTGAAATTAACTCTCGCTCAAAAATGTCAACTGCAGACTACAAGTGATGCCATGTCACAAAGGTCTGGTTAGCCGACTAAGAGAATGCCGTTTACACATAGATGTGCTTCCATTGAAACTACTACTCTTGTTAAGTGAGTAATTTATGATATTTGATTAGTTAACATATGCTTTTCTTTTGTCTGCTTAAATATGCCAATTATCTGCCTATCAAAAATTTACCCTTTATCGGCTTGTGGCAGTAGAAAAAATTCGTTGTTATGGAACTAACAATCGGCGTTTGTGGCTGTGTGTTAGTAACAAGCAATTCAATTAGTTTGCCGGCAGCAATAATGGCAACAGCAACAACAACTACAACAAAAGTTGCAATAATCTTCCTAGTCGAATAAAGGGAAGCCAATGTGAGCCTGATAACTAGGCGAGTCTTTTTGGGTGGCTAACTTTTTTACAAGGCAACCAACAACAACATTGTTGTCGTTGCTGTTGCTGTTGTTGAGAAGGCGCACTCCAACCAGCAAGGGGAAGTAAAGTGTGGCATGTGAAGAAGCTAAGGCCGAAAAGGAAGCCAGAAAAGTCGGACAGGGCTGGGGAAATGTCGATGTCCCAGTTGCTTGTTTGATTTGGCTGGCTGGTTCTTTTGGCTGCTTGGCGTGTTGGCCAACAAATTGCAGCCGCAAGAAACTGTTTTTTGGCTTCCGACTTGTTTGCCATTCCTTGCTTGCAGCCTTCATTGATTACTTTGTTATGGATTTCATTCGGCTGATTTGGTTTCAACAATTTCTACGCTTCCCTTTGCCATTTCTTTAGATTACAGCAACAGCGAAAGCAACAACAACAGTCTCTGATTGCACCAATCATAAACAAGCGACAAAAGTTTGTGCAATTTTATATTCAATATACACGCTGGGAACCATTTTTGAGTCAGTGCTCTCTGTGTGTGAAAAATTGTTAAGGATATGAGAATATATTGAGTCGCATTAGCTGCATCAGTTAACCCATAATATCTGATTCTTTGAGTGCCTCAATTTAAGTCGATCGATTGGCACTTTAAGCTCTTTAAACTGATGACTCATCCCTCCAAAAAACATATGTAGATACGTTTATAATTAAACTAAAAGAGCGCAATTAAAATGCAAGCCATGCGGCGAATTTATGATTAGAGAACGCGGTACAATTTTATGCACGTTTCAGGCTTGGACTTCAAAAAACTTTTAACTAACTGCCAGGGGGCTCCCAAGAGGCGCATGGAATAATTCAACGCGCAGGCAACAACAACAATAAATTATCATCGTCTGTGTGCACTGTGAAAAATCTTTTCAATTAAATTAACAGTTTTATAATCCATTCAATCTTAATATGTGTATTATGTTTTTAAAATCATGTATGTAAATCACATATCACATATTTGATAATGATGGTAATTGGAGAAACAACAAATTACAAAGCTTTAAGTGAAGTGGAAAGCTTATTTAATAATTCTTAGCAATATTTAATAAGCAAAGAATATTGATTTCAACCTAGATCGTTTATACAAATATTTTTGGCTCAGTGCATGATAAACCGTCAGAGATGGAAGTGTACTGGGCCAGCACTTAAGCGAAATGACTGGAGCTTAACTTTGGCCAAATGCAATTGGAATGACAGGGAACAACACACAGACAGGGAGGTGAGCAGGAGGCAGGCGACAACAGAAGATGCACCTTGAACGTCTCTGGATTGTTGTCTGTTGTTGTCGTATTTATCACTGCTGTCGACATGCCACCAGGTCGGAGGTAGGGGCGTGTTCTGGTCAGAACTTGCCGCAGGTCAGGTTACTGTGCAAGCCGATTTTTTTAATTTTGGACTTTGGTATTTCTTGGTTATTGTTGTTGTTGTTGTAGCAACTCAAATGAAAAACGTTAAATTGCAATCCCTGCGAAGACGCCCTTTTTGTGTTGTTTGTGTGTGTGTGTGTGTGTGGGCAAAATGTGTGTTGCATAGTTCATTGCCCCAATGCAAATGCAGCACAGAACACAGCATTTAGCTTGTAAATTTGTTTTTATTGGATTTCATTGATAATTGCTGGCAACGTGCATGTTGCATGTTTGTGGCTGCAGCCGTTGCATAGTTGTTTGTTCGATTGTAATTCGATTTCTGTTTGCATGCTAGCTCTAAATGCGCTGCTATTTGCCCAAATCGATTCGAAATGTAATTTGGGTCATAAGCAATCAATCAGTTATCCGTCGGGTAAGCGAACTCTTTGCCCAGTCATTGAACTTTAGATTTAGCGATTTGCCATTGATTAGTCAGCAGTGGTTAGCATTGGGCCATCATACTAATGAACATTTTTGAAACTAGTTTGGTTTTATGACACTTCAAACCGCATCATGTGATTAACAATTCATCAACCTCACCGTCATTATTGCTGCTAAAAGTTAAGTGTCTCGAAAACGATTGTTATTGTGATGCAGCAGATTCTTTTTTTTTTTTAACACCTTTTAGTAAGTTTTTATTGTCAATTATTCGATGTGCTACGATGGAGACTGAATCGGCATTTGTAAACAAAATTAAAAATAACAACAATAATATACTTGACCAATATAGCAGAACACTTAGTAGGTGTTAATACTGAAACGCTTTCGAGTAAATCGAGTAAAAACCGAGTAAATCAAGACATTGACAGCGAGAAAATAGAAAAACGAAGAACAAGTCCGACAAATATTCGCACTAAACTGAATGTTTGTCACGCGAACACTTTGGGCACGTGGGCTTGTTGTTATTGTTGTTTTTTGTGTTGTGGCTTGTTTTGTTGCTGCCAATATTCGCAGTGTTTGGAGTGCCATGCAAATTGAGTACTTAGCAAATTGTAGTTATTAAAAAACCAACACGCAAAGTGGCTACCTACGAAAACGCGAGCGCTTCTCTGACAACTTTTTCCCATTTTCAAATGGTTGCGACAACAAAAAGGAATTGAACTTATTTATATGCTATAAACATACAATCAATTTGTTATAACCATTCATTATTCATTAGATGTTGCTTAATGCCTATTAAATAATGTTTTGTGATTACCGCCTACAAATTTTGGAATTCTTTCAACTCACTTATAAGCTAATTTCAAACGCTGAATATAGAGGCATGCTTACGTCCCATATATTCCATCGTTATGAAACTTGTTGGATATGGAGTAAATATTATTCTGGGCAAAAATCAGAAAATGTTCATAGTATTTACACAAAGTTTTTAATAACTTTTTGTTGGTTATTTTCATGGGCTTAAGGTAAAATAAATACAATCAGTTGTTAATTAAAAACAAACTGCCACAATGTGTATGAGTATATCAATATTTAATATATTGTGTGAATTCAATGCCAATAAATATTTATACTATGTGTGTGTGTGTGTGTGTGTTGTATGCTGTGGTCGCATGTCGCGGTTGCTGTTCTTGTGGATGCTGTCATATTTGTAAAAGGTTAATCCCGGCTTGACAACCTGACAGGGTGACAGTGTTGGGCACCCAAGTTTAATTGGTCAATGTCAGATAGTTTGACATCGGCGGCTTTATAATTGATGCGGCTCATTAGCTTTAACTTAAATGCGAGTTGGAAGTTGCATAAGAAAATGAATTCGTTGCATACTATATTGCGTGCTTGTATAGAATATACATATATATATATACATATATATAACATCTATATATACTAAGTTGTCCTAGTTTGATGCTGCAGTGCTTCTGGGCCAACGAACGAACGCCTTTGCGGGCAAACATAAAAATAGTTAAAATGTAGATTTATGCAAATGCATCCTGTCGCCCAAGTCGCATCTACTGCATTTGCTCTATGTCAATGTGTTAGTAGCCCGCCAGTCACGAGCTCCAATCTCTTCGCACACCCCCCCCTTTGCTTTGTAGCTTCAGTTTCTGGGCTGCTTTGTTCTGTTTTTCCACTCTGACTGTCTGGTTGCCTGTTGCCTGTTGCTGTGGGTACCTCTTGTGTGTGTGCGTGTGAATTGAGTGTATTGCATTTAATATTTATTTGCTTCTATTACTCTTTTTTATTCATTATTCTTCTTTTTCTCTTTGTTATAGTTGCGCACATTTTTCTTTTCCTTCGCCAAGGAGTACAAGAGAAGCGAAAATGGAATAGTGAACAGAAAATGTCAGCGTCAGGTGGCAGCGGAAAATTAAAAATGCAATTGCGATTAAAATTGCATGACAAATGCATTGCAAAATGTTTAATGCTTAGCATCAGTTGCCGTAACCGTTCCCCCCGCCACCTTGGCCGGCAAAAGGGTATCATGATTAAATATATAGTATTTTCCAAAATGTGTCGCATGTTAAATGATTCATCTTAGTTAGCACTTGGCACTGAGTGGTCTCGCAATAGTTTCGCCTGTGACATCTCATCATCATCAATTCACACTTACCCTCAATCGATTTCGGTTTCAAATTAACACAAATCCGTTTATCGAGTCTGACGAGCCCACCGAAAGTAGAAGAAGATGCAGTTAAATAAAAGTATATTTGATTGATCAATTAGCACGACACAAAAAAATATGGTCAGGCACTTATTTTTTTTGTGAGTTATCTAAAAATACATTTTTAATTTCACCAGTCGGCAAAAATTGAACAAAATTGATGTATTTGCATTTACTATATATTTACAATATAGTATATATTATGTGTTTAAAAGAGCTGTTTTGGCTGTATGCCCAATTGTGAATGAATGCATCTATATAGCAATGATTTCCTGTGCCAATGGCCGCCAGACGCGGCACGTCAACCACACCGCACATCATCGTCTGCGTTCTTTGTTGCAAGTCACAAATGCACAAGTGATAAACACAAAGCACAAAGAGCACACACAAGAAACAGACAGCGTTGTATGACCGCAAATTATTGGACAGGTGCAAAGTCTATGACTGGCCCTGCAGATACCACTGAGGCAGGCAAAACTGGGGGGCCAACTATATTACCCACCTCTGATCACGTGACCGGCTTGTGATTTGGTGTCGCTGTGACCGGCGTCGTTGAGGATTTCGATGATTTTTTTTTGATTTTGAATACGTTTTCGGTTCCTGTTTCTGTTTCTATTTTATTTATTTATTTATTTATTTTTGTTGGGTCTTTTCCCTTTTGTGCGCACTGGTCGCGCTTGTGAGCGACTGACTGTAAAATGATTTGCCACGAAAATGCTTATACGCGATTTATAATGTCACTAATTAATTTTCGCTATTTGCTCCGCAATTGTGCGACCGAAAACTGATGCTAATGCGATTGCGGATAGACTAAACAAGTAATAATAATTTGCGGAAACAGTCCCATAGCAACGCCCTAAACAATTGACAGACATTGCTGTTGCTGTTGTTGCTGTGCTGTGTGTTATTATTAATTTAACGGACTGTTTTCCAAATTGTTATACGCATCGCCGTTGTAAACAAATGTGCAGCTCTCTCGCTCTTTCGCACACGCTAGACCGGAACAAAACACACAGGTTGACTTTGTGAACCTGTTACGACAACAACATTTCGACGTGGTCTACGCATTTATATTTTAGTGCATGGTTAAGTTCATAAAATAGAATGTAACGTTAACGTTAACGATATTAATAGCTTTAAACCTGTTCAAAACGTTCAAGTGACATATTTAGTTAAAAAACAATAATCTACAAATGCTGAGCATAAAATGATTAAAAATATTATGAAATTTTTCAAACACGTTTTGCATTGTTAATAGACGTAGCTAATCTATTATTGTTTGTTAGTCACAGAATGAAATTCCGTTTCTTTGATTTCTTTCACATATATTTTGTTTTTGAGAATTCTGAAAAACGGTTGGTATTTATTTGAAACCATAACAAAAAAAACATTTACATTTTTAATTTACAAGTAAATGATTAAATGCCAGATGGACACAAAGATATTATTTCGATTTGCATTTTTTATGGTAAAGATATTTATTCCTATTTTTAGATATTCGATGTTCAGGCGAACATAACTTAATGTTCGACCCTCGTCACAAATTTTATTAGAAAGATTTGATTAGGCATTTTGTTTAAGACAACATTTTCAACTGTATGTGAGTGTGTGTGTTTTTTTAAGTTTTATTATTTTAAGCACACATTTTTACAAAATCATTATTTTTTTAGTTGGGCCAACTTTTCCGAGGCCCAAGTGTTGGGTTGTCTAGGGGGCGACCTTTGTTTTTGAAATGTCTGTCACGTCTCAGGGTGGAACATGTGCAATTAGCCCTACAAGAGGCCATGAAATTTGTTCGGCCCACGCTTGTTCAATGACACTTTGTTTAATCCGTTTGGTCAATATATTTTCGGCGCTGAGATCGAATCGAATATACTCAATAGATAGCGTGATCTTAAAGTGTTCAATCTCTACACTCTTTGACACATATGCCTGTTGAATTTTAATTGAATAATTGTATTTACATTTTGCACGATATACGCGAATTTTCGAACAGTTTTGTGTATTCCGTATTTGTTTGCTTTGGTCTTTAAATTGAATTGCTATTTTCACTTTTGTGATCGGATTGGATTGAAGCGCGCTGCGTCTTGCATCTGCGAGTGCCACGACGGGTTTGTTGTCATCGGCGTCTACGGTTGCCTCTTAGGCGGCACTTTTGTTGGCTCGATCTCGTTCGCGGTCGCCGTCGCCGTCGTCGTTGTCGTCGATATTGCGTTGTCAGATGCGGCTAGTAGTAGAGGCTGTTACGTTTTGCGTTAACGTTGTCGCTGTCGGAAGGTTCGTGCGACGCTGATGCTCACCGCGACTGCGATTGCGACTGCGACAGCGACGTGGACGTCGCAGCTGTCAGATTTTATTGTACAATAAATGACGGCACATCTTAGCCAGACAGGCAAATATGCGTAGTGCTGCTTATGAATTGGCTGCTAAGCCGGTTTTTTGGGCCATCGATCTGCAGGCCAAGTCAAGACTGTGTTGCCGCTTGGCTGGGCCTGGACTGCGGTGTCAATGGGTAAGGCAAATACGATGCACATTCAAAGCCAACAATAACAAAAATAACAGCTAATAAGCACAACGAGAACAACAGCAACAACAACCAGACAGCAAACATGCAATAATTGGCGGCTGCCCTTTGCACAATTAAGCAAATCGACAGAGTCAAGTGCATGGCATGTGTTAATGGCGGGTCCAATATTAGAAAACGTTTTTCATTTGCATTATTTTTTTTTTAATGACTACGGCCTGTGGCAGTTCAAGTGGGTTTTTGTGCATACTTGGCTTACTCAATTTTGCAGCGCTCGTGGCAACGTTAATTATTGTGCTTAAGTCAGGATAAAAGGGAGCCACCGCAACCACAAATATTTGCTATTAAACGCTTGGGTTGGCACTCAACTCGTTGTCGTGGCAAACTTAGCAACTTCTGCGAATTTCCGGCAATATTTTTCAGTCAACGCACAGACAAGCAGCAGGCAAGCGAATGCAAAAGTTTTTGCATTAAATGCAAAATAGTGTTAAATAATTTCTGCTATTTTGCGATCATTCATTTTTCATCGCTGTGGCGCCTCGTTCTGTGTGTCTGTGTGTGTGTGTGTGTGAAGAGCGGAAGTGTTGCACCCACTCTGACCCCTCACCTACATATATAAACTTGCCTAGCTGCCACTCTGTCTGCCACACCGCATACTTTATAGCTGCTCCTACGAGGAAGGGTTAAGTGGCGCCTACGCCAGTGAATTAGCACAAAACCGCATGTAGATTTGTTGATAACAAGCCGTGCATACAGACAAAGAGCCAACAAGTGTTGTTCTTGTTGTGTTCTCGCCACTGAAGCAAAGTGCAGTTAGATCCTGTCAAGTTGCGAATTTTATGCGAAATGTTTAGTAATTAGTTGCATCCGCCTGAGGAAATTACTTACCAACGCCACTGTCGACTGCAGTAACCCATATATAATACTACCAAGTCCAAACCCAATCCCAATCCCAATCCCTATTCACTAGGAGAGTTGACAGCTCTAAGGAAGCCCGCGCTTCGTATGTGTGTTCTTCTGTGTGTGTGTGCATTACTCATACGCAGTGTGCGTTCGTTTTGGTTGGCGCCAAGCGTTAAACTAACTAATTAAAAGTTGCACAGCTCGAAATGCTTGTGCTCTCTCTCTCTCTCTCTCTCTCTCTCTCTCTCTGTTTCTATTTCTATTTGAATTTGTATCTATCTCCCTCTCACGCTGTCTGTGTATGCTTTGTTAACCGAGACCCTTGGCAATTATTTGTAGCTGCTGCTGTTTTAATTCAGCTAAAATATTTGCACGCACAACAGGAAGGGTGGCTGGGCTGGTGGGAGGCAGTGAAATTGGAAGGGAGCCAGCCACACGTGGGGCTGACCTGGGTCTGGGTCCCACAGTGTGTGCGCTAAACGCATCAACTTCTGGGCTACAACAATGAGCAACTGTTACAATAAAAACTGTCTTGCATTCACATTTGTTACTTTGTTAATTTGCTCATGTTTCTTTTTTTCGTGCAAAACTTTTGCCGAGCACAGTGTGGGACACTTTGCGCTTGAACTGGCATCACGTATGTAATTAGCACCTGGCAGTTTACCTATGTGTCTGCTCTGTAGGTTTCGCATGTGGCGGCGTTACTTTTGTTCGAGTGCTTGCGTTTTGATTAATGATGCTACTGACACTTTATGTTAATTTAAAATTAATTTTATAATTATATGTGTGATATGGTATTCAAAAGTTATTAATAACAGGAAGAGCGTAACTAAACTTGATGCACTTACAGCTTGATAGCCATGTTGATAATTTGCGTAAATATTTAGATCGGAAGCGGAAGCTAAACTTTGTTTACCCCGAAAGAAACCTTACAATTGTTTGCCTACAAGCTAGAAGGCCTATACACATCAATATGTTCTGTTCCGTTAAATGATGACTAAGCAGCACATTTTGTATAGAAACTCTTGGACCCATTCAAAGTGTATTTAAGTATTGTAAATTCATAAAATGCGTTTTAAGAATCTATTTAAAATGGAACGTATCCTAAGATGCGATTTTGTAGGGTAAGATTTTGAATGGTGTTTCTAATTTGAAGTGCAGCATTAACATAGGTGCCAATCCAAGATTAAAAAGGCATTGCTTTAGAAAATCTGTTCAGTTTTTATAAAATTCTTGTTATGGAAAGAATTCAATTATTTGACAAGCACATATCTATCATCGACCAATAGTTCATATGTAAAGTTATGACCTTGAATACGGCTGATTTGTTCTGTTGCTGTTTATGTAGCAACAAAAATGTATGAAATACAAATATATATTATACTATCAGTTCCAAGACAATTAATTTCCTTAAACTTCAAGTTATGTTCTGCATGTCGCGCTGTGAATTTCTCTCTCGCGCGCAAAAGTATGCTACGTATTTTGCATTTAAGTCCGCCCTTAAGGTATGCAATATAAAATGTACTCACCTTCAGTGCCACGCAAATCATTTAACGCGTTCACAACTCTGGCAACGATGACGATGGCGTCATCTGCGAGGTGGTCGTCTTTTTGTTTTTTGCTTTTTTTTTTACCGTTGTTACGCTTTCCCATTTCTCATCAGTTGCCTCGTCGCATTGTGCGAAAAATCAATAATTCCTTAAGTCTCTGCGCATGTGGCCCACTACTGCATTGCATCTGCTAAGCATTTTATTTTTTTAAATTTGCTAATATTAAAAAAACATTGTCTCCAGTTCGTAATTCAGGACGCTGTTTTTTGATTAGCTTTTTGCCTGCTGACATTCACCATGACCTTTGAATGTCGTTAAGAACAGTGGTAGGGTTGTCAGGCCAGTGCAACTAAATGAAAAGACATAAGAGTTTAAAGAATTTAAGAATACCTTTCAGTTTTTATTACATATTATGCATTTCGCTTTCGCTTTTTTTTGTTTTAGCTTTTTTCACTTAACGACAGTAATTTTAAAACATTGTATTTATTTTCTTTGTTAAAGGTAGGTTCCATATTTTGTAGTTTTAGCTTGTTGATGAGTTCAAATTTAGACTCATGGAATTTGGATTACTGTTTACCTTTAGTCGGTCAGCTTAATAGTTAAGTATTTCATTTTATAGAATTTTTATTGTCCTTTAAATGGACATATTTTCGCTTAGCTAATAGTTTTTTTTTTTTTTTATTATTTTGGTTTGCCTTACATTGCTGGCGTTCTTCATATGAATATAGTTATGTATTTTTGTATTTATTTGTGTATTCATTATGTATGTTGATTTTCAATTCTGAGTCTTAGTATCTACTATATGTTAGGAAAACAGTTTTATATACATACACATATGCACATATGCTTACATATGCGTTGCTTAAACTCAACTGGTGTATAGTTCAATTAAAGTTTGTTTCAACGGAACTGAAAGTTCTTAAATGCGTTTTACTTTTAGTTTTAGTTTGGTTGTTGAAATTTACAATTTATTTATTTTTACCGAGTGATGGATTTCTAGTTGCTACGTTGTTTATTTTAGTTGAACTATGATATATGAGCGACTAATTGCTAAAAGTTTTCAACTATCATAGCTTAGGTTACAACTGGGACTGTGTCTGGTTTCGGCTGAAAGTTGGGATTGTTTACGCTTAGCTTAGGCCTGGTATTTTGAAATACTTGATTTTCTTTCATTTTTATTTGACTTACATGCAATAATTCAATTCATTGGTGGCTTCAATTTGCAATTTATTTGCACAATTTACATTGTTTTTTTTTATCATATAGTTTTATATACATATATATATATATATAGGTATATGTATGTATTTGTTAATTTTTTATTAATGACATTATTCGTTAATAATTTGTTAAATATGTACACTGCTTAATTCACTAATAAGTTGATGCTTTATTTTTTGTGTAATTCTCATTTGATTTTTAATTTTAACTTTTAGTTTTAACTAATTTGTTTGATGACTATGAAGATTTTTGGTCTATCAGATGACAAAACAAATGAAATATAAACATTGTCCAAGACGTTAAAAGGGGCTCTGATTTTAACGACCTTGACCATCCCAAGAAATCATATATAAATAAATGAAATGCTCTATGCGTAACTCATAGCACCATGTTACTTCGTTGTTAGCCATATAAATATGTATAGGTAAGAGTATACATTATGAAACTTAAATCATTTCTATATAACAGTGATTAAAGGAGTCATAACAATTTCAATGGCAATTTTCGATAAATTTATGCAAAATCGAATGTTAACTTTTTTTTTTAACTACAGTTGTTTTTGTAATACTTAGATTTCTATGATGATTAATATGCAATTGTGCAGAAAATATCTTTGAATTCCTAATTGGTATCGGTACCGTTATCGTAATCGGTATCATTATCGTTATTGTATGTGTGTGTGTGTGTATGTAATAATTATATATATTGAATCATTTGAGGGGGAGAAACCTTTAAAGTACATACACATATACAAATTAGCACTAAATATATATAGATATATGTAGTTACTAATTCAGCTATTCGGCTGTTATCAAAACAACGATTGGGGGAACTATTACGCGCTTGTAGAGAGCTGGGATCTGTTGGAGTTGTGGGAGCTGCGAGTATAATGCACTCGAGGCGCGTAATTATAGTGGAAGACTTCCGCTTAAAATGTAGATAGTTAATTATTTAAACAGTTTTGTTTTAGAGTTTGTTTTGCGATTTTGATTTTGATATACAAACTTTCATATTCGGCTTGTTGTATTTTGTATTTGCTTAGCTTTGATTAAATACTCATGGTTTATTATTATTAATTTTTGTTGTTTTAATTTAACGTTTACACACAACTATAACAGAGACACATACGATTAGAAGTTAAAAATTTGTTGTTAAATGGTTAAACATTTGATTTTATGCAACTAGAAATAATGCTAAATACATGAACTAGTACTTATATTTACGTGTGTACTCATAGTTAATTTACTGGCTGTTCTCATTTAATATGAAAAAATGTAACTTTTGATATACAATACTATGCTGTATTATGAGTCTAAGGTCTAATTTAATTTAAACTACAGTTATAAGCGAAAAATTTAATAAGTTATTGAATCTTTGGTTTTTTTAAAATATATTTTATTTTATAATGAAACAATTTCATTTAGGCTTTCAGTCATTTTTTTTGGTGCCGCTCCTTTAAACTAACTAAATTAAAGTTGACCAATCAAGTGACACTCGGCTCTTAAATTGTGGCAACAAATATACAAATATTTTTCTACAGGCATTCGATTTGCTTAGTTTTTAACTGAAAATCCTAACTAAGCTAAAAATAAAACTCTCGAACCATTTGAACTTAACCGCAGGGCACACAAGTTTTCCAATTAATCAAATGAATGCATTTGATTGCTGATCGCTGTGCTCGTAACACAAATAAATAAATAATAATTGTGCTCTAGCGCATATTTATAAATAAACACCAAGGCGTTAGTCAGTAAAAACTTATGATTAATTACTCAAATTGTTGAAAATGGCTAAAGTATTACTGATGCCAAATAGAGGAACGAGCTGCATAAACTGATTAATCTTGGGCCAAATAATGATGGATGTTTTCAGTTCGCGCTTGATAAACATCAGTTCAATATTAACAAATAGAAATTGGCATTTATGGACCGGCAGTGTGCAAGTGCAATTCAATTTATTTGCTGCAATTTGGCTGCTTACCAAATTATTGATGACTGGCGGGCAAAAGCAATTTAAGCTTAAATAATCATTTTGCTGTCTAAAATCATTTATTTATGCATTAACAATAGATGCCCAAAGCCATGCGTATCAAACAATATGAAAAGTCAAAAATTTGTATTTAAATTAAAAATGTGGTTTTTGAAACGTCGATTTGCGGGTAATTTGAACAATTTAAACTCGCATTAAAGTGGCTTATGATATTTTATGCAATTAATGTTGACAGAAATATGGAATTACACTTAATAATTCAATTTGGTATGAATAATATTTGTTGCTGTTGTGTGTTATGTAAGTATTTTTGTTTGTCAAATTTATGAAAGCAAAAATATTCACATAAAATTAGCATATTAAATTAGCATATAAAGTGCGTAATTAAATTAGAAAAATTAATGCAAATTGGACTATTATGGTTATTGCTGCCCTTTTAATATGCATCATATTTAATTTATGTTAACAAAAAATAAACTACTAATAAATATTCGTAATTCGTGATTCTATGAAACATAATATGTACTTTTGAAGAAGTGTTGAAGACAATGCTCATGACGGTCATATGAGCAACGTGTCGTATGCGTCACCTAGTTTTGACAGTAACGGGCAACGCTTATTGTTGTTCTTGTGCGGTTGCTATTGTTGCTCTTACACTTTAAGTGAAAATGAATTTCAATGCACCAGCGAGCACACAGTCTGGAAAATGTGTTATGTCGTTCGAAATTCATCCTGGCTTTGTTGCACCTAAGTGCAGTTAAGTGCTCCAGGTGTGTGAGGGTTTGGGTGGGAGGCTCTATATATGTATGTATATACATATGTATATGTATGTATATATATGTATGAGTGTGTGCTTCGCGCATTTTAATGTGAATGTGGCTTGCCAGCTGAATGCAGCATGCGTCCCATCCCTACCATCGATTACAATTGTTTTCGATTCCACTTTTTGCCATTGCCATTTTTGTTGTGCTTTTTTCGTTTTTTTCTTTTTGCAGAAATTGTCATTTAAGTGCAGTTGTTGTACACACTGCTGTTGTTGACAATCAAATGTGTGTGTGTGTGTGTGTTTGTGTGTGCGCCATAAAAAATGCATGTTGATTGCAAAGAACAGCCATTGTCTTCACAAACGTATATAAATGGAACAGTTTCAGATTTTTTGTTTTTGGTAACTGACAGTTTTCCTTTCTCGTGCATTATTAATGAGTATTTTAACAATTTAAAGACGGCTAGCACTTAACTTGTGCTACGGACAAATAGCTTACCCAATAAATTCGATACATTTGCGGTCTGTGTTGATAGCTAAAAGCAACCATAAATTAAAAAACTGAAACGAACTCATTGCATTTCTCTCTCTGTCTCTCTCTCTCGCACTCTGTGATACAAGCGTCTTAAATTTGGGTGCAACAAACCACAATGTGTCTAAAATCTGAGAGACTGATGTAGCAGCTACAATTTATGCATAGTTGTGGTTGCCTTTACACTTGGTCAAATAGTAAATAGTAAGGAAGATAAATGGGCCAAGTGCCAAGGCATGCACTATCTTTGCTCTCTTTCTCACTCTCTCTTTGTCGAACTGACTGACTGACGTGTCGTCTATTCGTGTGACTGGCGCATGTTTAGCCCAAAAGCGATGGCATCTAAAGTCGTGGGAAGGCATCATTTATAGCACATCTATGTCTTCCCGTTAGATTTAGCGTTTTTCTACATATTTTTTATGTGAAATATCTTTTTAGTGCATGCATATAACTGGAGCGCCATGGATTATTCTTGCCTTTCACTAAAATGGCAAAAGGCAAAATTAAAAATGCATTTTCGCTGCAACAAATTGTAGCTGCCACAGTAAAAAACAAGCAACGAACCGAACAACGACGCGAAATAAAATTAATTTGTTGCCTAGTAGTACAGCTCTTTATGGTGGCAGTGTCAGTTGCTTGCCAGCCAGCCAGTCCAAATTTTGATGACCTCAATCCGAATGCCAGACAATACACTCCTGCCTCCATACACCAGCCGATTTGACACAGTGCCATAAAATAAAGTCAGCGTCTTTATCCCTTCTTGCACCCTTTCAGAGGGTATTGTAGCTTTGTCGTGAAGTTAACACATTGGCGAACTCACAAGGATTATAGTTATTGTTGATCAATTTCAGTCGAGTTGAGATATCCGAGCTAAACTCATTATTTATCAAGATCAGATAAAAAAAATATGAAAATATCGGTTTGAATTTTAGAAAGTATAATCATTTGTTTGCTTTAAAAATAATTCCAAATAATTTCCAAATATACGAAAAAAAAAATATTGAAATTATAAAGGCTTCTTTTCTAAAAGAAAAGCCCAAGTTTTTACAAATATTCTTTTTGAGTTATGCTTGCCGCAAGAGTAAGGCGAATTTTTAAAATTTAGGACGATATTTTTGTTGAGTGTAGTAAAAATCTGTCGCCTTTTAAATTTATAATGCAATTTAGAAATAAGCATGTGGACTCCAGTCTATAAGCGTATCTAGTCTTCGATGTGCGCAGGATAGCCGCTGTTTAGTTATTTTTATTTTGTTTTGGTTTTTCTAGAACTGCACTTGCAATTTGTGTTTTTAGTGAAAAATGTAATTTTGTAAAATAATATCAAGTTGGATGGCCATTGAGTGTGTATAAAAGATGTTTGCTTTTGTGAAATTCATGTTTGCACATCTCGAGGGCATTTTATATGCGCTAGAAAAGTGTGTGTGTGTGTGTGTGTGTGTGAGAGAGTGTAGTTGTGTGTATGCATGAGGTTCAAGTTTGTGGTTCGAGGTCAGCCTTAGAAACGCAACTAAAAACGTGTAAATTGAAACTAGGAGATTCCATCAAATTCACAGCCGTTCATTGCTTTTGACATGAGCTACAATGTTCGTTACTTTTCGAAGAGAAAACTAAAAGGCATTTAACATGAACTAAAGACGAATAACGAAAGACTTTCAAATCGAAGCACATATGTATATATATAATATATATATAGAGCAAATCTAGCGCCTGTAATGCTGATACATGCCATGCCCATAGCCCATAGGTGTGCTGCCCATAGCACGTTCGGTAGCCTTCTCGATGCTCGCATAAACGCACCTGTAACAGCACACGTAGGCCAAACATCACTTGAACAGGATGCGCCGGAAGGCGCGTCGGAAGTCCTTGTTAAAGATGGTATAGATGGCCGGATTCAGAGCCGAGTTCATATAGCCCAACCAAAAGGCAATCGCGAACGCCGACTCGGGAATCTGGCAATGACTGCTACATGCCGGCACCAATATATACAGAAAGAAGAACGGCAGCCAGCACGCAATGAAGCTACCCATGATTAGACCCAATATCAGCGTTGCTCGCTTCTCCTTCTTGCGGGCAATGCGTCGCTTCTCCTTCTCGGGATCGCGTGGCTTTGGCGTTTTTGGTATGGCCGGCTCCAGTTCGGTTTTGGCCACCAGTTCCGCTTTGGTTTTGGCCGCGGCGGCTGCATTGTTCTTGGCCGCCACAGCTGCCGCCTTGGCCTCGTTGCGTCGCTGCTGATTCAACTTGCGTCCAAAGATGGGCTGGCAAAGGCGAAATTTGAGCGGCTTAACTACCGCACAGCGGCTGACCACGCCCGAGTCCGAGCTGGATGGATCGAATTCACTCACCATGTCCGTATCAATGCCAACGGAGAGGGCACGACATCGTCCGGCAATCGGTGAGACGCGCAGCTCGGAGTTACTTGGCCCAGTAGCACCACCACCAGCTGCAGCAGCTCCACTATTGGTGGCACCAACGGCATCTGTTGCCACGCAACCGTTATTGTTGTTTAGCACATTGATGGAATTGCTACTGCCCATCGATGGCGGCACCGGAACATTGAGTCCAACGCCGCCGCGTCCCGTCGCAATCGTGCTGACCTGGAGCGTTTCCTTGGGCGAGCAGGCACCACCTGAACCTAGGGCGGTTGTGGCATTAGAGCTACAATTGGGATTGGCATAGGCCAATGCCGTTTGGGCGGCGACGGCCTCCAGTTCGCCTGCCTCTGACGTGGATATATCGGAGGCCAGATCCATGGTGACTGTCGGTATTTGCATGGGCAGCGTCGCACTATTTGGTGGGGTCTCAATGGTGGCTATCTGTCGCTGCTGATGCAGCTGCAGCTGTGTTGCGCCACTGGAGGATGGCATCGGTATTGTTCCTTTCTTGTTGGTGGTGAAGCTCGTTACCTGCAACACAAAAAGGTAGTTAACAGTTTGGAACACGTCTTTTCCATTTCGCAAATACCGATTACAGGAGCGACCGAGCGCAACGATTACACAAGCAACGTCGCCACCAGCTCACCCAGAAATTTCTGAGGCAATTAACCCAAAAATGCATTCGACAATGAAACGGTAAATGTGCTAGTGTGTGTGTGTGTGTGTGTGAGTGGGAGTGTGTGCCTGGCTACTTGGTATGCGTTAATCTCACGCCTACGCGGCTGATGGCACAGCACATGCAACAGCTGCGCGCCTTTGTTTGCCCGAATCGGTGGCCAAGTGTGGTATATACTGGCTGAGGGTATTGCAACTTTGTTGTAAGGTGTGTAATGCATTAAAGAAGAAACAATCGAAAATATTGAGTAAATATATATAGTAATGTGTAGTATCAGCCGAGTCAATTCTATGCAAACTAGTCTCGAAAGGGGATTCGGCCTCATCGGTTCACTCTGTCTGCCTTTCATTTTATTTTTCTTAATATTGCATTGCTTATTTAATTTGTAGCTGGTTTATTGTTGGTGACATCATTTTATAAATAAAATTGTTAGCTCTTTGAAGCTCCACAGCTGATTGAACGGACGCTAAGAATCTCTCCCTGAAGACGAATCCCATCGGGACTTGAAGTATATTGGAGTAATAGATAAAACTTGGCGTTGAGCCAGCAAGAAACTTATTTTAATTCAATAGAGAGCTTTTTAAATTTATTTATAAAAATCCATTTGCTTATTGTCAGTTACTTATAGTTAAAATTGAATAAATAAATATCACAGTGAGTCTAGTATGATCAACTTTTTGGTTGTTTAAGATATCCGCATTATGCTCTACATTTTTAGGCATCTACATCAGAGTTCTACATCATATCGCTCATATAGGAATCAAACTGATTCTTAAATTTGAAACTGCATTCTCAATGTAAGCAGCAGTTATCCGTTCTTCAAGGGTGTTTCATTGTCGTCGTGGACTGATTTTCCTTATGGATTGTTTTCGTTTGCCTTCCCCTTAGTATGTGTCTGTTTTTCTTTTTTGCATACGTTGCAGGCTCTTCGTTTAATATTTGGTCATTACAGACATTCTACTCAATCAGCGCAATTGCGCTTAAGCTGGCCGAGAGTTTTTGAACTAAAGTCAGTGGCTACCAAGCAGGTGTAAAAAAGCGATGGCATTTTATTGAATGCAGCTGGAGAATGCCTGCCAACGTATGTGTGTCCCCACAAATGAGCAAATGGCCCAAAATGGCCGAGCGTGACCAAGTGTATTCGGTAAAGTGGAGTGGTTGGCAACACGTAACACACACAAATTGACGCCAAATTGATGCTGTACTGAGCTGCGCGCTCTTAGTCGAAAATATTGCGTGTATGCCACATATGCCACAACCATTTAATGCTGGGGCCTACCCAGAGCGATAACATGTTCATTCAAACGGCACAATTTGCATTTTTGCTACGGCCGTTGCTCATCTTATCTGTTTGGACAGATGCGTGCTGCGTTGCAGGCATGCCACAAATAAAGAATCAGATATTTTGAGTGGAAAGTGGAGTTGAGTAACGTTGCTCACACAGTTCTCGATGGTAGTTTCATAACTTACTTGTTCGTTGTTTGTTTTGCGCGGATGTTTTTTAATGCCCCGTCTTGCCCTCGCCTTGGCAGCAAAGTAAATTCGTATGTACACAAAGACCATGATGCAGCTGGGTATGTAGAAGGAGCCCAGCGCCGAGTAGAGCACATAACCAATGTCCTCGCTTATCTGCAATGAAATATCAAATACAAAAATAGTTTAAGTCAATGCTCTACGCTCGAGAACTGATTGCTTAAATAACTTAAGTCTCTGATAAACATCAATTTATTTAATGATGTTAAATAAATATTATGTGAAGATATGCTTTTCAAATGTGTACAATTTTAATTTTACCTAATCCTTCAACAGTAAGTAAAATAAGTAAAATGCCTATGATAAACCGAATCTAATAAATAAGCACTGTTAAAGTGCTTTAGAGAGTTAAAGAGAACTGTTCCATAGTTTGAAAATGTTGTCCTACATTTAAAATATTGATTTCTTGGCCATTGGCAAAAATCTTTAAAAGTTAAAATAAAGTTGATGAATTATTGCCATACACAAATTCGGAGGGCAGCGATTTAGTTGTCAGATTTGATGCAGGGATTTAGATTGAATGCACATGTGCTTGACTGGTGACACACACTGTGTAAGCCTTATATCCACTTACTAACTTACTGCTGCGAACTGCTTGTGCGATTTGCCTTATGCCGTTGGCACTTAAGGTAAGTAGTACTCTGCTAGTTATTGAGTGCATAAGACTCGATTTACTATTGAAATGCATTTACTGGTACGGCTGTGGAAAATGCTTTGTCAGTTGCTGACGTGAAAAATGGGCGAAAATTGCAAAGTGCACGATTTGCACAGAAATTTCATAACGCTAAATGAACTAAAAATATTAAATTACGGCGCACAAAAGCTTTGGCAGTGCAATAATTCTGAGTCAGTCTACCGTGTTGCGGAGCGGAAGGGAGAATTTCTGGGGAGGCATGACTTGCCGAATGGTAAGACTGTGGCAAACCAGACGCCATTTTGTTCAGCAGTGGCATTACATTTATTTAAAGCTGGCGGAATTAAATACGCCATAGTACTCAAATATATCTCCTGCTCCTGATTCTGTTGATGTTGTTGTTGTTGCTGGTTGTTGGTTGTTCGTCGTATTTTACTTTGGCCGCTGCTGCTGGCTGTTTATGGTGGAAAACTCTTTACAAAATTATGCAAATTAAGTGTTCTGATGAAAAGCATACTAAAAAGTGCACTTGATGCGGCGAAGAGATTGCTCAAGAGTTTTTGCCCTTTTAGCTATTGTTATTGCAATCATTGTTGTTGTATAGTCATTGTGGCTGCCGTTGTCGCGCATAATGAAAAGCCTTCATAACTGCCGCAACTTGCGGTTCTGCTAGTGCCTCTTGCCTCATCAAAAGTCAAGCACAATTTTGGCCAGCTGTTTAGACTTGAGGTAATAACGCTAGCAGGCTTGCGTGGACCACGGGTATACAATTTATTAGAGAAAAAAATGAATACCATCTATATTAGAGTATATAAAAAAAATAAGACTTTATCAAAACACTGAAAATTTAATTTATTTAAATTGAATTCAAGTTACAGAGCAGCCAACGTGGCTGGCACCAAATTGAATTTTTGAGCAATAAGTGAACTGTTGCACTCGTTGGAGTCTGCAGACCTAGTAACTCAAGTGCATCCGGGTTTATCATATACCACACACACACACACACACACACACACACACAGAGAGCAGCAAAAACAACTGTGTATATGAACTTTATCCAGTCTATCCAACTAAATAAATTTCACTTTAACATTCTCTGGCTGGTTCTATGGCTGTCATCATTTAACTTGCACAAGTTGCTGCAACAAAATCAGCATAAAGTATTAAACGTTGGGTATAATGTTGCCAAAATAAATATGTGCATAGACTACAATGAGTGCAGGCACATTTATGCCTGAGTGTGTGTATGTATATTGGCAGGATATGTATTTGTGCAGAGCATAAGACCGTTATGTGGCAGGCAGCGAGGCAGGGGCCAACAGCCACTTAAGTGGCTGGGCTGATATTTCCAGCTTATTGCCCAAAGGCAACAAATGTGTACGTATATACTGGATACTGCTACTGCTACTGCTACTGCTGCGGCTTCTGCAGTTGGCCGGCTTTTGATGCGGCTGTTGCAGCAGCAGCAGCCGCATAATAAATTGTCTCATCATTTACGGTTTATTCCTGATATATTGACAGCATTTGTCAGTGCTCCCATAACTAGTTAAACAAGCTGAAGCAGCCGATAATAATATTAAAATTTAAGCTCTCGTGGCGCACTTAAAGAAACATTTTGCTTTCGTAAGTTACGCCCAGCCGACGTGCCACTTATATATATATAGATTTTGGGTTTCTGAGCCAACGACTTTTGCTTAGGCATAAAACTTGTCCTTGGTGCCTGTGCACGTATTCATATCACCTGTGTACGTGAGTGGGTGTGTGGGTGTGTCAGTACTTACAAGTTTGCGTAAATGATAATCTATTAAAGTCGAGCATAGCAAAACGTTTTACTAACGCATTTGAACAAAGCACTATTTTAGCACTAAATTGGCAACAGCCAACTTGCAGCTTGCAACAGGCGAACAGACTTAAGCACTTGCAAACTTTAATATAAATTGTTCACTGTGTGTGTGTGTGTGGAGAACTGGTGCTGGCGGACTTAACGTAATTGCAAAGTTTACTTTCTACATTTGCAGTTGCCCACTTGTGCATTTGTTATTTTCGCCCCACTTTCTTCTGTGCTGTGCTAATTTTCAGATTTGCAAATAGAGCTGAGCACTTTTGTTTACTGAAAAAGTTCTTTGAGCGTGGCGCTTAGTCCGTGTAGCAAAAATGGAAAGATGCGAAAAGAAAAATAATTATTCTGCAATTTTTAATTAAATGGCAATGGAAATTGCTGGCGTTGCTTTGTTTTGCTCCTTGTCTTCATCCTGTTGCCGCTATACAAAACTTAAGCTGCTGAAAACAAAAACTCATTATGGGCGACCAAAATCGTTATGGTGGCCGACAGTCACGTCAAAGCGACGGCGGCAGTAAAAACTGTTGATGAGCACAAGTGCCAGAAAGGACGGCAAGGACGAAGTGGAAAGTGTAAAACGTTGATGGAAGCGCACAATTTATTGAATTGTAAACATGCACAACAGCACACAGAAATTACTGTAATTAAAAGATAAAATTGCTGTCCAGGCAGCACCAAACACCACACGACACCACGTGGCGTATGAGTAATATTTAAAGTCTGAGCCCGTATTTTTAAACTAAATCAACTGCCCCCTTGTAGATATGCGTATACACTTATGCACTTGTACAGCTAGTGGCACCCATATAAATAAAAGTCAACAGTAGCAGCAGCACATACTACATATACTATAAATATATATAAACATATAAGAACGCACAAAATGCCGTTGAAAATACAAAAGAATTTCAAACCGAATCGTTGCTAAAAGTTTGCACAAAAAGTAAGCAAAAGAAAAACAAAAAAATAAAAAATAACGAACCAGCATGTGCCTGTTTGTGTGTGTTTGTTTTTAACACAAAAAAATGTGCGTTTTGCCCCGAGGACGCCAGCCCGACATGGTCGAAGAGGGTGGGCTGTCGAAGAGTTCCAGTTCTTGTCATCATCAACATTGTCGTTTTGCTTTGTTATTATTGCTGTTGTTGCTTTTAGTGCAGCAACTTTTTTTATAGCAATAAGCCAAGACACACGTTGACGTTGAAGAGGCATGACTGCAACTGCCACAGCAGCAGCAGCAGCAGCAGCAGCAGCGGCAACGGCAGCGGCAACATCAGCTATGCAGGGCAGTTAGACCGACAAGGACAACGCTGTTGAAACAATCAATAAATCTTAAGTGAGTGTACAGGGAGTACAGCTTGCAGTTGGCTGCCAAAGAAATTCGCGTCGCATATTTTGCTAGCTTTGACAATGTTGTCAGTACTTGAATGACTTCTACCACCTCCCGCCAACCGGAGGCACCTTTAGCCTGGTTCCCTTTGCCATACTTATTTGCATTGCTACTGGTGCAGCTTTCTTGTTTGTCGCTGCTCAGTGGAGCAACTATTTTGTAGTTTGCGTTGCCAATTTGTCTGTCTGCTTCCTTTCGCTATTGCACTAGTTTTGACTTGGACTTGCACTTGCATTTCAATTGACTGCATTCTGCTTCCCTCTGCTGGCGTATAAATATACTCCTCTCTCTCTCTATGTCTCTCTCTCTCTCTCTCTCTTTGTATGTCACCCAACCAGTTCAAAGCGAGTTGGAAGTGTGTCGGGTTGACTTTATTTTCCTTTGTCTCTTGCGCATTTCCTCAACTTCACGCTATCCCGCACAAGCAATAAACTTGAACCAATTGCCCAAAAGAGAAAAAAAACAATAACAACAGCAACAACAACAACAATATATTGAAGCTCAACTGGCTACTTAAATGCTGTGCGCTAATGTTTTGAGAGGCAATATAGCGCCACTGAATGTCAAACACGCGCCACAGCGCTCGACAATTAAGCGCCGCATTGACAAAAATTTAACAGATGCCCGCTGATAGCGTGTCTCACGGCCCACAAATAACAATATGCGATTATAGCAATAAAAGTATAACCATTAGGCTTGCCTAGCTACGAGTTGAGCTTGCACAGTCGAAATAAAGTAAGGGGAGTATCTAAAGAAGAATTTTATATTGAAATCTTTTCGAAGTGTAATTCTTTCTTCTGTATTGAGTTCTCATCACACTTCTCTTATCGATATTTTGGCTTTTTTTTATAATAGTAAATATTTTGTTTCCATTATATTTGTAAATATGAGCGTAAAAATGATTTAAAATAATAACAGAAATATAAAAAAGGTTTGGTATATGAGGATTGAACACATTTCTCTTGGACATGAGGCTTAACGTTATTTTCACGATGCTTTGTTTATTTTCTTAACAAATTGTGAACAGCCTTAAGGCCATAATCAAATCTGTACATATTCGTTACGAATGAATCGATATACCCTGCCAAATCTATAAATGTTATAGATTGCTTTTTGGTGCTTGCGGCGTTGTGGGCTGTTTTGTTATTGCTGCCTAATTGTGGCTAACGGTATGCTTCATTAAATTGCAATTTTTTACCACAATGCCATGGGTGCGGAAATGCATTGGGCGCCAT